CTTGACTCTCCTCATGAGTGCATATTCGGGTGGGCGGTTATTTGCTTCCTTCCAAAAGAAATAGCTTCATGAAATATTTATTTATTTATAACAAATGGCAGGCGTCTTGATGGTTATCATTAGCCCTTTAGTTGACTTCAGACTTCACAGAGAGGAAGGAACATCAAATTGAAAAAAATCGAGAGGGAGGGAAGAGAAGAGTGTTTCAAAGATCTAAGAGACAAAAACAAAGGTAGAAAAAAGGTGAGGTGAGTACTGTGAAAATATTCGAATATGGCATAGAGTGAGATAAGAGCAGTTTGAAGTGAGAGGTCAACTGCCAGCTAATAGACTTTTTTGCCGTATGAATATACGTAGCCCAGGATGCACCACGTGAAGGTAAGTCTCTCGCACACCCCGTTTCATGAAATATAATTTTCCGTTTAACCGCCCTGTGCGGATTTTCAGTAAACCTAGGTAAAATCTTTGAGGAATTTGCAATGACATTTCAGTGGTTAGGCCATCATTCTTTTATTGTAGAAATTTGACTGCTCCTTCCGAGATGGTGATGTTCGTTACTACCACGAGGGTAACCCCCTTCTCAATATGGACACCATTCGTCTCACTCTCTTCTTCTTCCGTAACAACCACTCAGCGTTTCAAACCGTCCACATCCCTGTCGATATCTTAGATCTGCCCAAAGGCCAAGATGCCGCTGTAGTCGATCGCACTATTCCACGCTCTAGAATTCGAGGCCCACTTGAACTCAACGTAAAAAGTGTCAAGGCTGCAAGCCAATCTCTCAGCTTATCAGTAATTAATATTGAGTAAGTTCTTGGAGGGCATTCTGGGGCATGACCCTCATTTGAACCCTAAAACTTTTATATTTCTTTTTAACTTTCAAGCAGTCGTTTCACTGAGTCTAATCTATTGTGCGTACGACAAGTTGAAATCCACATTTACTTGCACGAATTCATAGCATAATGAAGTCAATCAAGATGCCGAAACTCCATTGGGTTGAACAGCCTGTTGGAGGTGAAACAGTCACCATTGTTGATTCCCGACTTCAAATATGCAGGTCTCCATATTGAAAGTGTTGAAACTAAAAGAGGTGTGATGTCAAGGCTCACGGAAGAGTATAAATAGACCACTTCTCCTCAAACACAACTATTGAACATCCGCTGCCCATTTTCCGGAACCTCGAAATTTGTAGAAGAATGTGTTGTGGAAAAATTCAGAGATTAGAATATCTCTCCCAATCTTGACGTTAGATTTAATGCAAATGAAAATTGCGTTGAAACAGTGCTTCTGAGTCGAATGAAATAGTAAGAGGACCCCAACCCTCCCCCTCCCTCTCCCACCTCTTGGGACGTTATTAATATTTCAAACAAATCAAAATTTTGCCAATAACATCTGCCTATGTTGAATTTGCTAACTTCTGCTAATAATGCCACTATTCATCTCTCATCTAAACTTCTTTTCTCTTCAGGAAAAGTGCAGGAAAGATCATTATTCATTGGCAATATTCAGGTCTACTAGTTACTACCTTTTCAGTATCTTTGATCTCCGAATGAGGCATCACTTTCCACAGATAATGGGGTATTAGTACTTTGCGCAGCTTTTTGTTGCCTGGTGATAATGTGGACTTTTGCTACTACCAATACGAGTTTAGAAAGTGGTGTGTATTTTATCTGTCATCGAAGTTGTGGTGTTTAGCCATTGTATGTTAAAAATGGGGGGGGGGGGGGGGGTGGGGCATTAGGAGGTTGTCTGTATTTCCAAAATAACTTTAGAACTTTTAAGTTACTACCATGAATACTGACGAATGCAATCTATAGTTGCACGCCTCCAGAGGCCGACGCTTTCAAGGGAGCTTTAGTTGGCTTGAAAAAGGCCAAACTAGAATAATATCTATGAATAAGGGATCTTATTGCACATACACACGCACCCAGATCACTCGCACTGCCACTTAAGTTACCCTAAAGTTACAACTTACTTAAATGGAACAGAAGTATATAAATTAGTCCGCGTTCCTAGCCAATGCAGATGCATTTTGAGACATTATTTGTATTGTAGTCACTAGAAGATTCCATTGTGTCTCACCGGTTCCGCATAGGAGTTGTGTCAACTATGCCAAATTTATTAATCTACCAAAATCTCTTTAACAAAACAATTTAGACTAAGATGAAATTAGTCATATTTCAAATTCGAAATTTTGTATATAACCGGAGGTGATAAAGTCAAGACATCGCCAAATTAAGGTCTCAAATGTTTAGTAGAGTCGTAGGGCTTTTGAATCTGCCAACAAGGGGCTGAAATAGAAGCTTTGCTATAGACGATTGGAGAGATGAAGGAAATATTTGAAATTAAGGCAAAAAAAACATATTGAGGGAGGAATAGGGGTGATCTTAAAGGAGGAAAGAATTCCTACGCCACTTCATATCGATAAGCTCCTCTATTTTGCCAGAATTCCTTCATTCCCCTCTAATTACTGAAGTCCAAGCACATTTAAGCATTCCTAATCATGTTGGCGCTTTTGGACAGCCACCAATACCACTGACTGTGAACTAAGAGATTACGTCCTTTAAAGGCATTTTGACAAATGTAGTGAATGAATCAACAAACCTCGTTGGTAAAGAGATGCGATTTCATAATCTAATATTCTACTAATACATCTTGCCATGTTCCTGTGTACATGGCATCGACTGTAACAGTTCTGATATGTTACAGATGCTCTAATTGCTTTAGGTTAGTTTTTATAGCATTTTAATTTACTTTCATTACGATTTCAGCTATAACCCGGATGAGGAGGAGTGCTACCTTGCCTTCACACGCTCGGATATTCAACCGCCCGGGAGTCAGAACAGCCTCGAATTACAGACGGGTCGGCCACAAGTAACACCCTGGTGGGAATCGAATTCGGGTTTATGGACGCCAAGTCTAGGTCGACCACCCGCTAGTGGACCTGCGATTGGTGCAAGTCGAAGATGGCCAATCTTTGGACATATTGTTACAGCCGCCTTCAATCGGACAGCTGTTGATCACTTTGAGCATGAGTGTCGGGAGGCCCTCTTGAAGGGATATAGGTTAGACCATTAATAACATTATTTATTTATTTATATCAAATGGCAGGCGTTTTGATAGTTATCATTGGCCCTTTAGTTGACTTCAGGCTACACAGAGGGAGAGAAACATCAAAGTGAAAAAAAGTCGAGAGGGGGGACAGAAGAGTGTTTCAGGGAAGTAGAAGAGACAGGCACAAAGGTAGAAATAAGGTGAGGTGAGTACTGTGAAAGTGGTGGAATATGACAAGGTAAGATGAGTACTGTGAAAGGGGTCAAATATGACAAATAGTCGAGGTAAGATGAGTACTGTGGAAGGGGTCGAATATGACATACGGGTAAGGTGAGTACTGTGAAAGTGGTGGAATATGACATACAATGAGGTCAAGGTAGTTTAAGT